TTTTTTTTTTGTTATCGATTTTATTTTCGTTATTTGAGATAAAATGGAATAAAATTTTGCCAGATTATTGGGAACGTAGGCCACTTACACAGGAAATGATTGACTACGCATGTGAAGACGTTACAATTTTGGTACCAGAAATCTATGAAAACCAATAAAGGTAACATAAATATTTAGTATTATTTATTATTTGGTATGGATGATATGGACGATATTGTTTAAAAGTGCCTTATCCCACAAAATATGCTTGATACATATTCAAGAAACAAGATGTCGAATTGTTATTTTTTTGCAATAAGATCCGGCGACAGTACTTGTCAATGGGATTATTCAGAGAAAGAGTTGAAGAAACGATTATTCATAGACTTGACCCGGAACTGAAAAAGTGGCGTATAGAGAGAATGGAAAACGCCAGAAAACAGTCCTGCGAAAAATGGGCAAAAAATATACGACACCTGCAAGACTTTAACCGACGAAGATGAAAAAGCTGCCATCAAAAGAAACTGGTTCCAAGAAGAGATTGACTTATGTCAGTTCTCAAAGAATTGGGAAAGGAAATGGATCAAGATGGCGACGATTTCAACACCCATTAAATAAGAGGATAGATGACCACAAGTCAAAAGCAGCAAACAATAACTCACTTGACCTCCAACCCCCGCCACAGAGTCCAGTGGTCCATGTTAAACCACTATGCAAGAATATAAGCAACAAGAGAGCGAGCCGATTGCATGAAGCCATGCAAATACGAAGACACAAACCGACGATGAATAGAGATCAAGGATTGTTCCTCCCCAGGGCGTATGACACTCTTATTACATAATCATAGACTAAGCATAATAAATTCTATGTAATCAATATTTAATACTTAACAATATCCTCACCACTATTCAAGATAAATAATCTAAAGTTGTAATAATTACTATAATTTGTAAAAAAAATGATAATTAAAGATACATTATGGGAGATTAGATAACGAATGGGCAGTTCGCACTACAATAGTTAAAAACTAGATAATGTAAAGGCAATTTGCTGAAAATTTCAGTCAAATTGATCCACTACGAACCCAGAAATAAGCGATCAAAAGTTCCGCATAGCCTCGGTCATCATTACTAAAGTCGGTACGACAAAAATCATAGTCTCGATTATCCAATTAATCGTTAAATCGAGAAGGAAATTTAAACAGCAAATCGAATCATAATCCAACAATTATCGCGGGCTAGCGTTGACATCGAGAGTTGATTATGGTCTGGATACGTTAATTAATGTCTAATTAATAGTTTATATAACATTTCAGGCCAAAAGAAAGACCTACAATAGGCAGATTTAGCTCTTGCATAATGTATGTTTAATAATTGGCTATTTATTTGCTTTTCAGGGCTGATGTTATTGAAATTCAGTGCACTTAATAATTCAAATCCTGCCTTCTAAATCACTATAGCATCCAGTGAAGATACTACTTATTAATTCAAGTAGTCGGCCTTCTAAAGGTTTTTCGTATATTAGTGGAATCAGTTACATCAACATGCATATATTATCAACATTTATCGTTATAATACCAGTCAAATTTAATCTTTTTAGGGCGCTGTGATTATTAAAACCTGATCAAATCATTATAAATACCCCACAACAAGCTATCTATTAATCATTGGTGTTTATTTCAGGTAAAGTGGTCGTTGATAACATTTTATCAAATTTTATCTTCTTTCAGTATTGGTCATTATTAAAACCTGATCAAATCATTGTATTACTCCATAACAAGTTACCCATTAATCAATTAATCAATTTGTGTTAATTTTCAGGTAAAGTGGTCGTATTGAATGTTGTTCTTAGCATTAAACTTTATAATCCTTAATTAAATTAGATTCCCTTTAAGCACATGTAATTAGAAGGGGAACTTTGGTTGGTCAGCATTAACTAAGTATTGTGTACATATATATATTTTCACATCTTATCATTGCTTGATGATGACTAAAGAAGCGTAGTCGAAACGTCGCTCAGTAATAAGCAGTAATTGTATTCCATAGAATTGTGACCTGTAGATTGCAATCCTGTCGCTAATTACTACTATGCACATTATAAAGGCAAAACATACTTGAGACCAAACATTAAGGAATTATCAACCGATCTCTATAATAGATTTCGACAAATCATATCTAATGAAATCTTTAACAAATACAACAGAGAAATACCCCTATATTTTCTAAGAGACTAAGAAAGGGCGGTTATAAATAAAGGATATTCGTATCATGAGCGCCTCAAAGTACCATTCGCCGTTGGTATATTTTTATTATAAATTAGATAACTACCATTCTCTGTTGGTACATTTTTATTATAAATTAAATGAAGAAGATTTCAAAGAGTTTGAACAAAATCTTGCAAACAACCCTTCTAAAGTGACCGTTACTAAAGTTTTTTTTTTTAAAAACCTTTTTGCGTTATCAAACCAAGAAATCTTACATCCCCGTATAAACGTTTGGCAAGCCGCTACGTGATTAAAGCAAGCTATCGACCGAGCAGGAACCCCCCCCCCCCCAAGTCCGCCGCCACGCCGATCTCGTAGGTATGGCTATGGGTATGACGGATATGATGATTACTATGACGACTATAGGGTCGACGAATACGATCCCTATTACTAGGACGTAATGTAATAAGACACAACAAACATATATGTGGAATACACATCACTGGTTGTGATACATTTTGCGTTATCGTTTTCAAGAATTCCGTATAAAAGCTTGTTGTGTTTGTACTACTACTACTACTACTACTACTACTCTATTTCTTATGAATGATGGGTTTTTATAGTGATGAATATTTCATACTTTAAGGTCTAATATCAATTCATTAGTTAGTGATTATGTACATTTATATCTATGTAAACAACAACATGTTAACAGAAATATCAACTATTGATGTATATTGAAGCTGCTGATCGATGTAGCACCATGGGTCGTCCGTCAGACGTGGAAAGCGGACAGCGCACTAAAAACGATCGCCACATCCGGCGTATAACCCATGCATCGTTACTTACTACATATTTTGGAACAGCCCTTGATCGTCTAGTATTGCCTTTGATCGCATTCGTAATTCTTTAACTGGTTAGGACGTATCTTTAAATGTCACTCTGGCATTCTGAACGGGGCATTCTGAAACCAGATAGTGCCCGTTGAACCTCAGCGGTCTCTCCTTTCTTAGAATCTGCCTGGTGTCTAACACAAAAGAATCTACATGACCTCTAAAAATTATTATAGCCCCGCTCTGCGCATTCACTTTCAGTGCAAATGATCTCATTTGATCTTTGACCCGAATGTCCTGAAAACGCACCAACCGCAGACTGATTACCACTCGGCATCGTATTCTACGCAAAATTTTACTCTAGAAAAGTTGGATCTGGTTTTGTGCCCATTTGATGCCCCCCCCCCCCAGCACTGAGCCTCCAGACTATAATGGATTTTATACAATACTTATAAGTGGTGCTGGTTTGTTTATATCGTCTGTTTGTTTAGAGAACAATGAATGTTACGATTCAATGGGCCCAAAGTAAATATTGGAATAGACGAATGAATAAGGTGTAAGGTTTACCCTGTCTGGCGTGTCATTCTTGCCACAAACAAAGCGAGATATAGAAAAACTAAAACATTAGGATGTACCAATTCCAATAAGTTCTGAAATGTACCACTGTACAATTATATATTAACCTGTTCTACATTCTTTATATGATCATGTCTTATTAAAGTTTTAAAGCATGTTTTTGTCCAGTTTTTTAAGCAATGTTTTCAATAATTAACATGGGGGTAGCTATGGTGACGACTCTTTGTGAATGTGAAGATCCAAATAATTTGTGAATCGCAGGCTGTCCTCTACCATGCAGCAAAAGCAACTTTGTTTTGTTGGATTGTTTTATTTTTAAAACAAGCATACGACGAAAAAACAATAAGAAAGAAGAAGGCTATACTCTTTCAGTTTCTAATATTTAGAATCGAAAGTAATTCTTCTACTTTCAACGGCTTCAGGGAATGGGAGCCGCGGTGGCACTGATTGTTTTTAGTTTAAAAAAAGAATACAAAGAAAAACAAGAAAAAAGAAGAAAGATGCTCTTTCATTTTCTAATATTTGGAATCTAAAGTAATTCTTCTACTTTCAACGGCTTTAGGGAATGGGCACCCATTCGTTTCGTGAGTAAGACGTTGGTCTTAGCCGAGAAAGTTCATCCGGATTTTCCGGCGTTGTTCCGCCTTGTCAGTTGGTAGCTGACTGTTTTTCTCCGCAGGTAGTGTGTCTCTGGTGTTCAGAATGCGTATAGTGGTGCGGATGGGAAGAAAAGCGGGGTCCCGTGTACACATTGGCGTTCACGTAAAAGAACCGTTGACAGTTGGAATTCGATATACATGCAATAGCAGGCCGTAGCGCCGCTGTCGGGGGAAAATTTCTCTCATAGCAAACTGTATACCGTATGCCTGTCTTCATTAGCCCCGTAGTTGGAGCAGAACAGTAGGGCGTTTCATCTTTTTGCTTCAAGGAATTACATGACGTACTGAGCATTACAATGATATCATCTGTTTTCGAAGAAATAACTATATATGAAATGACGACCACACCAATAATTTGAATTTTAAAACCTAAAAAGCAAGTTTCTTTTTTATCATAAAGAAGAAAGTAAAATGACTATTTTATTTTGAATTATTCAGAATCGAAAGTAAAACTTCTAGTTCCAGAGGTATTCTTGGAAAAAGAATGACGTATTAAAATGATATCATGGTTTCAAAGGATAAGTAACCAAGAAATGAGTGCAAATGACCACATATCAATTCATAAATTTACCGGAAAGATACAATTGATATAATTGCATATTTAAACAAATATCATCTAAAATTAAATACATATCGATTTCAAAGTGATCTTATATCTACTTTAAAATTTATTATATCAAATTGTCTTAGAATTATTATTACCTACACGTGTCTTCAAGTCCATAAGAGGATGTGAACAAAGTATAGGCTACTATGTAATAAAACAAGATACGCCCAGAGAACAAGGAAAACTAATAGGGTTCATCCTCTCATTGTTCCAATGTTTCATATAGAATTAGAAAAAAATATGTTAAAAACTGTACCCTCTATCGCCGCCACAATGTTTTCGAAAAATGGGGATAACTCTAGAACAGAAGGTCACAGATCGCTGAAAATGAGGACATATAAAACATAGTTAAGAATTATTGGAAAGCAAATCACATACTCCTATCTTGGGAGTGAAATGTGTGGACAATTCCTCAACAAATAGATAATGTTGTTTAGCTCCGTTCGAGTGTACTGTGCACCTTTAAACATTATCATAACAATTACATAATCACATGCATGCTTTATCAAGTGGTATGTCATGTATATAAATATGTATACATATATTGTATAGTGTACATATAATATATCTACTTACTGATTAAAAGGAAACTATGTACAAGGAAGAAGTAAATATGAAATGATATCAATTCAGCGAATTCTAAAATTAGTAGAAGTATTAATCATTGCATAAAAGTATGTAAATTGGGATTTTGATTTGACGGCAAGGACCTACTAAAACAGAAAACACATATACGAATATGTAAGTATTTAAAATACATGGTTTCCAATGAAATCATAGTTTTGTCTTTATCATTATAACTATTTATTAGACCTATTCATTCAATAATTGATGTCATGAACACAAATTTTATAATCAACTATTACAGATCAAGTTTGGCAATTATTTATGTTTTTTTTTTTATCTTTATTAGACTAAGGTAGAGTTAGGATATTAAGAATGGATTATGAAATAATCCAGGATGTAAGAAAATGTCAGAGAGTTATAGAGACTTTGATGAAAGAAGAAATAATTTCTTGTGACGCAGAAGGTATCAATTTAGGCAAAGATGGCCCATTAACACTTCTACAAATAGCTACAACTGACGGCCATGTATATTTATTTGATATCCATAAAGAAAAACGTATGTTCCAAGATGGTGGACTAAAACAACTTTTAGAGAGTAATCATGTTCTCAAGGTAAAGATTAACCATGTCGCCCCCCCCCCCCCCGACCTTACACCCCTTTAATTTGAAATAAAGTAATTTAAAATCATCCCCCACCTCTCCCGGACTTCAAATCACATACGTTACAATTTCGGAAATCCTGCATACGTCACTGGCTTAACAGTCTAATTATAATTATATTAACATGCTGTTCTATTTTATATTTCGGTTGATTGGAACTCGTTCAGTAATACACTGATTAGTTAAGTCGTCTCTGGGTCAACCTACCAATATAAACTAATGAATCAGAAAATTCCGTGAAATCTTTCGGAAGCAGGGTCCCCACAGATAATAACGGAAATCGTTTAATTGGAGCGGAAGAATGAGTAAATTGAAATGGACTAGAATTTTGTTTAACCTCTAGATACTGTCATTCATGAAAATCGAATTCTTTTTCGACAAATTAAAACCACCTAGCAGCTTAAGTTGTTTAAATCTATTTCAGGTATTTCATGCATGTTCTAGTGATAGCCAAGCATTGGAGTATCAGTTTGGTGTTTCTCTAAAAAATGTTTTTGATACTCAGGTATATATGTTCTTGCTGTTTATTACAAATTTATCGTCCAATACATTACACATGATATTATGGACATGTTGTTTTAATTCAGATTATTTACATATGAAGGAGTAATAAAATAAAATGGGTATATACATAAGAACAAAGTTATTGTATGTTAAAATGCCACTTTAAAAAAACGTGTTAAAATTCGATGTCGTGAGAAGGGAGGGTGGGACACCGTCTCTCTTCGTCATATTATAGTATATTTATACTTATTAATTTTTTTGTAGGGATATTTTATATGCACGTATGGCTATTGTTAGGTTTGGGGGATTTTGCGGTCTTGTACTTTAAAATATCTCGAAAGTGACCAACCTCTTTTTAATTTATTAGAATTTGATTTTTAAACTTTTTTTACGGGTCAGTGCAGAAAGTGATTATGGGGTGATGATACGAAATATTTCTATTTAAAGCCAATGTGCTTTTAAAAAACAAAACAGCCAACGTTCGATATCGGATGTGTATTTATCAAACGGATCAAGGTATCCTATACTTCTACTGGGCAAACCTTTCCAAACAATATATTTATGTAAATAATAAATTTTGTGGAATTGTAGGTGGCTCATCTGGTTATACTTGAACAACAAGGTCGTTTAATTCCACAAATGTTAAAATTATCAAAGATATGTGAAATCTACGGCACCACTAAAATGGAAGAAAAGACTGGTATGCATGTAAGTGCGTGATAATACTTGTGTTATTGTAACTACTGTCAATAGAAACATTACTTACAATTAATTTCTACGAAAACAGTTTTAGCTGAGGGCGCCATATTAAAAAATCTGGCTGCGATGATGCGTCACATAACTTCAATCTCACCTTGAGGACGCCTCATTAAAAGGTCTTGTAGTATTTATGGTGTCACTAACGCAGTCTTTAAAAAGTAGCTCTTGAATGGGACCATTATCAATGAATCGTTTCCATTAAACCCAGTAGCCATCAGTTTCTGAAATCCAGGCCTGAACTATAGCTCCAGAGATGAAAACAGCTTTATTAATTCCTGTGTACTTAAATCTTCTCATATTGTACACGTAGGCATGTTATTATGTACATGTAGAGTCTTGTTATAATGTTCAAGTAATCTTGTTATTATTTACACATAGTCTTGTTATTATTTACATTGTGGTATCGTCATTACTGACTGATTGCATATTTACTTATTTTAGTTATCCCAAATTTCAGAAAAAATGGAACAAAGTGTTTGATTACTGGGAAATTAGACCGCTCACAGAGGAAATGATTGAATACGCATGTGCTGATGTGAGAGTCTTAGTGCCGGGAATCTATGAAAACCAAATACGGTAAAAGATATACAAAATTACTTTCTTTTGTTTGTTAACTAATGTACAAGGATCTCTATTTTTCTATATAAGTACCGTAAACATTTTAAAATACTGTTCGTAAATGGTATCTAACCTCTTCCGATAATATATCGTGACAGATGTTGGCCAGAGGCTCGTGACAGTCTGAAATAATATGGCCTTGCTTACTAAGGCAAATCTGTTCATTGAATCCCGTCCTACTCAAAGCGACCCAAGCGACCTAAAAACGAAACGGAAATATTGGTGCAATTTTAATAAGACACTTGCAGCCAATGACGGTTGTAAGATTTCCGAAAGTTCCCACCTTACTTCCGGCACATATCTGTCAGAAAAGCTATCAGAGGCCCAAAATGGTCATATATTTCGGACGAGAGAAATTTAATTCTTTTTATCGTTTTTAGAATGCTAAAGGACATGAATGCCATGAAAATATTCAGTGAAAGGGTGGACGAAATGGCTAATTACCTTAGGGATCCGAATCTTCAAAAGACAAGGAAAGAGAGAATGGCAAATGGCCGGAAAGCAGTATTGCGAAACATGTGCTTAAAATATCAAACGTATGTCTCCAGTGAAACATTGATTGATGAGGATGAAAAGGCAGCTCTTGGTACAACGTGGACTGAAAAAGAGATTGACTTATATATGAACCCCTTTGTCCAGTATATGTACTACGAAGGCTTTGTTAACGGTCTCAAGGAACTCCAGAGTGAAATGGACCGAGATGGCGATGATTTTAATGCTAACGTCAGAGACTACATTAAACTTTGTAAAGCGAAATTATACCCCAAACCGATGCTTAAAATGTTAGCTAACGATCTGTGCACGAGATTTCGTCAATTTATATTTAATGATATGGTAAATAAATATAATAAACAAACACCTCTGTATTATTTGGGGTCGTTAGAGAAAGTGCTCTTAAAAGAAATTCGTATTAATAGTTCTAAGGACAAATCAAGATATCATTCGGTCTTGGTGGATCTTCATTTTAAGTTAACTGAAGATTGTATCAAACAGTTTCATCAAACTTTTATAGAGATTCCTTCTAAAGTTATAGTTACTAAGGGGTATTATTCTTTTTTATCCTGCCAAACCAAACGATCATTTGTTCCCGTGAATGTGTGTAAAGCTGCAACACAACTTAAGCAAGCTATTGATAAAGCAGGAAAGGGTCCTGTTCAGAAAAAGAATAGTCGATCAACTGGCCGACCACCGTCTGGTCAAAATTAAGTTTGATATTTGACGAAAAGCCATGTATTACACTGAGACAAAATTATTGTCGGCCATCCATTTAATACAAGACATTTTGTATGGTTTCCGAATCCCTGCTTATGTTACCCTAACACAAATGACTCTTATACTCCATAATCATGGCGGTTTCCTCTGAATAAAACGTTATATAGAAATATGAATTAATTGATATATTTATTTTTATTTCCATTTCTGACAACAATCTTCAAAGAAAAATAGTTTTCATATCTAGCCATTTCCTCCTTCCATTTCATTTCTTATGAATACAATATTGTTTATTTTATGGTTTTTATTTTCGTAATAAAAAATATGCTTTACATTTATTTATATTAACATTCTAGTATTTTTGAGTCATTTTATTTCATACACATTTTTTAAAAAAAAAAGTCATTGGATTTTAAAAGATATATATTCCCACGAACGATGCTGGGTTCCCCGAAAAAGACCTCGGGTGACACAAGGAGCGCTTCTTAGCTGACGGTAGTGAGAGCGTTGGGAGAATTACAAATACAGTGACTCTACGATTAAACGGCGGAAAACGAAGTTGGCATAAAATAATCCAAGAATTTACTAAGGCTTCCAAATATATGGACAGAGACTAACGACAAATACAGGCTGGAAATGGGTTCGCCCCCATCAAGACCCATGACAATCAAAGCATCTAAATAGATTCTTGCGTCATGGGGTTGCTTTCTCGCAATTAAAATATTTTGAGAGGGATTTGAAGCAAACTTAGTTGGAATGTGATTTAGCCCTATCAAATTACACAGTTTATTCTCAGGAAGATATCCTGGATACCTATTTTTGTAAATGCTGAACATTTTAACAATATTAAAATTCCCTCAATTAATGACAAAGGACTTTAAATAAGTTTATGTGCCATACTTTTACGTTGCCCTATTCAAATAAATATTCATATTGCATCTATTTCCCCCTAACTTGCTGCTTTAAATTCTAATTGATTTGTTTTGCATATCCCTTAACCTTGAGCTTGCATAGAATGATTCGTAATCCTCGTCATTCTATTCGCGTTTAAAATTAAAATGACCACTACTGGCATGCTTCACAATGGCAATTGGAGATCAGTTCAAAACGCCACTCCTTTTAACCATCTTCTAACAGTCAAATTAAATCAGACGGATTGGTGCGCAATGATATGCACGTACGGCCATTAAATACATGTTAGTATCATATACAACATCCGACACAAAGAATTTGTTATTTCTTTGCATGACTATGGGGGTGGGGGTTAGCGTGTGCGCGCTGCATCATAAGGTCTGTCATTGAGTCAACTAGTGTGGTTTCGAATCCCCCGTTGTATGTGACAAGGAGTAGGGTCGCCTTTCCAACCTCGTGGGTTTTCTCAGGGTCCTCTGGCTTCCTCCCACTGCTAAAGACCCCTAGGCGCAAGCGAATTTTTGAAATAAAATTGAACCATACGTTAGTCCCGAAATGACCTAGTTTGTGTCGAGTGGACGTTAAATCCCATCATTTAGTTTTCGCGAAAACGTTAAGATGACGGCGGACGTCCCCTGACGTCCCCTATCGTAGGTTGCAAATTCGGAAAGTTTAACTTCCAAGAAATACAAACCTGTATTGTGCACAGATTAAGTCGAGCAAAAGAAGTAAAATGTACCATTTACATGGAATTTCGCTTCATCATAGTGTTGTCAAGACTGAATGGAATTTAACCATTTTTGAACTGATAACCCTATTACAAATCAATCTGGTTAAAACACAGATCCTGTTTCATTTCGTTTTTATAGTTCAAAATTTTGTTTTACTTGTACACTAGGATCTGGAAGGGTTGTTAACGTGTTCTGAATGATGTGCGGGAATAGCTAATGAAACGGTCGGTTACGGCGAGCTTTAGGTGTGTTTTGCACGGAACTGTGGATAATCCACTAGTAACGTCAATGCTGATTGGTTAATCAAATGTCTGAGGTCATAGGGTCAAAAGCTGCTCGCATGACCTCTGACGCGACCTATCGCTACAACCGGTCAGATCTTCATAGTGCAGGCCATCGAAAGTATAAAAAACGAAACGAAATATAGATCTGTATTTTAATCAGATTGATTACAAATTAATGGTAAAAATACTACACATATCATGGCTGTCGTTCTGTATCAATACAATGGTCTGACCACCTTTAAAAGTAATATAACAATATGTTTGAGCAAAACAAGACGGAATTAATATGTATCATGATCTTGGCAGATTCGAAAACCACTTGAACGCACAGAACCGCCTATCGTTTCAGAAACCACGAGAAAGCGGACACAAGGATTTTGATGATTCTCGTAATCAGAAGCGATGATACACAGGTTATTCATTTCATTTCCTGTTAGCCTGATATATTGGCCAAAGATATATAGTACACGAACATAAGTGATAATATAATAGTATTTTAGCTATGTGAACTCCTCTAATGAACTTGACCTCGAGCACGACACCCGTCAATACAGAAACAAATCGATACTTTAGACTTGGATTTCAGAAGTCAACGCTACTGGATTGGTCCAGTGGTCATACTGAATAAATATAACAACGAAGACAAAAATCATTATCATAATGTAGTTTATTTTCATAGATATATTTGAAATTCCATATTCAACCTTAATTATTACCATTTTGGCAAAATACTCCCATTCGATGTATTTATAATGAATAGTACGAAATGATAAATTAATAAGTGAAATATTTCACCAAAACTGAAAACTTTGAGATCAAACTTGAAAACTGATGAAAATGGAAAATGATTGTTTAGCACTTGATAAAAATCTCTTAAATGGAGAGCCATTAAGACTTAATTTACAAATACATATTTACAAGATTAATAACTTTTATGTTAGATGAAGTGTACCTCACTTTTAAAAAATATATATAATACAAAGAAAGATATATACATATAAATTATTTACAAATAATATATTCAAACAAGGGGACAAAATAAATCATTTAAAACATATTTTGCAAATTACAAATAATACAATATTTCATTCCATTCCATTCGACTAGGGTCATTTTTTCTCGTATAATTAATAAAAGCAACCAGGTGTTATCTAAATTATGATGGTCATGTTCACTTTATTAACCTAAATCATGATGGTGATAATGGTTTGGTTCATCTACAACCCCTACCACTGGTAAAACAATAAGTGACATTCTAACACAGAAATTCTAGCATTCCATGGACCTTCAGCGATTGATTATGAACAGCCTTTGATTTTAGAAAGAAATATACAATGACGGAAATATACATTGATGGTTCTGTGACGGTCAATCCACGACATAGACTCATGAAATTATGATATGAATAAGAACATGATTGTTAACGTAATGCTATAACGTTTGTAAATTAAAAAAACAAACCTGTTATTTGAATTGGACCCACTATTTAGGGTTGTGTAACATACAAATGTGCGTATTTTTAATAGTTACAAGATGAGGGATTTCAAACGAAATTAAAAGTACAATATGTAACGTGGAGCCTAAGACTAAATATAACTTCTTTCAAAATCGAAGCTTCTGAACACACCACAATCTGACGTAGTCAGCTAACTAGAGACTTGACGCATATCAGTTCGATTGCACGAGGAATTGCGCCATATTGCGAGATTGCACCAAAATAACGAGAATTTTCCTAGTCCGTTAAAATTGCAACATACCAATAAGCATTGCATAGTGTAATATAATATGCGAATATACAATTTAAATATTTAAATTTAATATACGGATGTCTCATTTCATACATATCTAATCAGGGGCGACCATGTGAAATTTTATATTTTGATGTATGGAAAAATATATCCGCAAAAATTTCATACCAATGTATGTAAATATTACTTGAGTCATTTGATATTAATTGACAAAAATACATTTCCAGCCCAGTAAACACAATCTGCTTAAATGAACATTAAACAGTTTGAAAGTGTCTTGAATGTATGTAAGGAACTATTAATAATAATTCGAGACGTTTTGTAAATAAAAGATACAGCTTAGAGAAATATAAGGGGAGATAACTCTGATTAACCAAGACATCACGTAAAGAAACAAATTAACATGCCATTAGGCCTATATGAAGTAATTGCTACATAAAAATGATTTATATATTATATTTATTTATATATATACATATGGACAAAAGAAATCAAAATAAGCACTTAAAATAATTATGGTAACTATAATATAGACCTAGAGATTATAAGGTTTGAAATATACAATAAGCAAAAACAAATAAAGAACATAGGCTACATATCTATACATCATAATTTGATTCTTTCATAAATTTCAACATATTGTAATTTCCTATTAATGAACAATAACGCCTTTTGAGTTTGAGCACTAACAGGATCATCACCTATAGTTTTTTGGGATGGCGTTTCAGTCTTTATAGCGGTTTTACCACACTGCGTCACTCTCAACATTCCTTAGTTATAATCAATGCCGTGAAGAATATCCGATAATTGAGGATCCATAATCGCGTTGTCGGGAAATTCCGTTACGTAAGGAGAGACGGGTGGAGTAAGGCTTAACGTGCCATTCAAGGTAATCGGGTGTGTTTGCGATATTGAATTGGGTAGCTCCAGAGGCATTGGTACGGTAAATTGATTTGCGTAGCCGGAATATTCGTCGATTTGGGCGCCACATATGTCGTTGGTGGTACGGAACAACGAGTTTGGACTACATGGACTGTACAGGACATCGGAGGTAACCTGTTCCTCTTGATATTGGAGTTCCAGTTGGTTGTACATCGAGGTATTTAGGAATGGTATTATAGGTTCAATTCGGCACTGTCCAGATTTCTTATGCTTTTCAATCACTTGTTTTAACTGTTTCAATTCGCGATTCAATATTCTCACTTGTTTTTGTAGACTGGTATTTGACTGTCTCAAGGAACTCATTTCCTGGAAATAAAAAGGGAAAATATATTTGCACAACCATAAAACCATTTTAGATGTTTTCAAGGAAATATTAATAATTGAACCACTGGCCAGATAATTTTAACTCGTTCACCATGTTCGTACTTCATCTCGACAAAACTAGCTTGTCTCTTAGTAATGCTGAACAGAATAATTATCATTCATACGTTACATTTTGGAATGAAGTTAGAAATAGAACAACACCCGAACACAACCCTGTATATCGAGAAGATTTAAGGAATTGTCTTTCTTGCGTTTCAGTTTCGGACAAAGTAGTATATCGAACAACAACCGAAGACAACCCTGTATATCGACAAGGGATAATGAAACTCAGAGAGGTGCGTTTTGCAGAATCTGATTAATACCGTTCACGTAATCATCAATATTTTAGGTTCCTGATGATCAAAACGAACGTTATCAATGTTACCATGCTTAATGAAAAACATTAAAAAGTAACTTACGCTTTCTTTTGACATCCTTGCTTCCTTTTTCTTCTTTCTACATTTAGTAGCAGCCCGTCTATTCTGTTCTCTTCTTCTTTCCTTCTTCATAATCTCTTCTTGTGTTAACTGCGAATCAAAGACATAATACTGTATTATATTGTACAGGGTTCTGATAACGGATATATAGGAGTAGCGTACCAGATCATAGTAATCTTCGATTAGTCCTAATCCGACCATGTCCAAATGACGCCAAATACTGTCCAACAAAATCAAAATTGTTGGTGTTGACTACCTTCGACCACATTTCAGATATGGAATGGAAAGATTAGGCCTACGGTAACTTTCGGCATTTTCAAAACGTTCAAAGAATCAAAATATGAACGACGTGAATCTAGAATGCTTTAGAAAATAAAATCGTAACTGATCACATTGACATTGGTCCAAAACTAAAGATATGAAATAAGGATCGCCTTAAGCCAATTGGATCCCGCGCCATAGTAATCTTGTCTTGTCAGGCAAATGACCCCGTACGTAAGTAAAAAAGCAGTCATTTCTCCTCATTTGGAATCAATCATTTCACTAAAATATACCACAGTTGTGAAACTGTGGTCCCATCAAAAATGTTACCAATTGTGCCCGCCGCTTCTAAAGTCTTCAGTCTTTTCTAAAGTGACGAAATTAATTAAAGATAAAGTTCTCAAATTGATTGCTAAAGTAAGGAAAACAAAAGTATTAAGCCTACCGGGTGTTGCTGGGGCTCATAGAATTCTGCTCTGATTTCCCGTTTTCCTTCTTTGTGTCTTTTAGCTGCGATGAAACATCGTAGTTCCTCTTTAACTATCGGTGTGAGACTATTTTCCGATTCCGACCTACGAGCTGCGCGTAGCAGACGATCACCAAATTCATCCTTGGCTATACCATATTCTAACTTTGGCTTGACATCAAACGTATCCGAATCCGCCATTATCTGCAGTTTGCCACAAGTTCCGTCAAAATCTGGTAAAAAGGTATTGTCAGAGCAATCGGATACATCCAAATCCTCCATAAATACTGAAATAAGAGGAAGAAAAATTATTATAAATTAAACCGAAATTAATATTAAAATTCTCAGTGAATTAAACTGAACTTAATATACAATTTTCAGTTAGAAATTGGTATCAAATTCTCAGTCAGAAATTGATATCAAATTCTCAGTCAGAAATTGATATTTAAAAATCTCAGTCTGAAATAAATATAAATTTCTCTGTCTGAAATTAATGTAAAATTCTCAGTCTGAAGTTAATATAAAATTCTCAGTCTGAAACTGATATCAAATTCTTAGTCTGAAAATATTATTTAATAGTAAAATTCTGAGTTTGAAATGGAGATAAAATAAATCAATCTGAAATAAAATTCGCAACTGAAATGGTGATTAAATAAATTAAAATAGAATAAAATTCTCAATTTGAAATAGCGATTCTTTTACAAATCAGTCATGTAGAATTGTCTTAACTCATTTTCTTAAAAGACAAAACATTTAAAGTAGAATGATTTGAAAGGAATGTACAAAGGTTAAAATGGTATCTCTGCTTTTTTATGTTGGGGTTATGGAGATGGTCCACCTGTCTTCACGTTTACGACAAAACAGGAATTACGTTGAAATGTTGAAATAAATAAATATTGGAGCAGGTTTTCTAAATATTAATCATCTAATTGTCTAGTTATGAGTATCAGAGACAAGACTCTAATACATAGAATTAAGCCTTTAAAATAAAATGTCACTGTACACATCAAATAACACTGCAATGCCACCAACTAATTCAAACATTATCGAATAGAAAGACACATGACACAATTCCACACGAATACCCGAATTAACAACAAATCTTTAAACACCACTCTTAAATATCTAAGACATTCGAATATCTAGCATCAACACAAATTATATGATACTATCCGAGCTAGGTTGACGAAAACAGCCATAAGCATTTTACAATTAAAACAAAAACATCTCGTACTCTTCAGTATGGTGGGTGTCACTATACGTGTAAAATAACTGCAAGTACGCATGCTTAAAATAAATTTATAAACAAAGGAATTTAAACTTACATTCTTAAAAAATAAACTTATGTCGCACTAAGTAATACAAGTCAAATAAATAATAACAGTTTGTTGACAAATATTTTGGTATTGTCTTCAAAAAACCACAGAATAAGGGCATTTGGTGACCTCAGGTACAACGTCCATTCAGTTCACTGGTTAGACGCAAACTATGCTTTTCAAAGAGTAGGTTTTCTTTATGTGTGTAAAACTTAGGTGTTTACAGGTATTCTTGTAATGATTACAAATATACACATGTTTAAATATATATTACTAATGATACATAAATACCTATACCAAGCAAAGGGGAATAACCAATCTCTGCGCGTGCAATGGTAATAAAAATGCAAAAGCTACGGGTTACTATTATGACTCTATAATGAAAAATGGAACATTTATATTATTATGAAAAATACAAAATAATTAAATAATAATAATAAAAAATACACACTTAGTGAACTAACGTTTAAATTAAAAAAAAATCCTAGAAATTAAACTATATCAATTTAACAATTACATAAACGTAATGTAAAGGTATACTATATGCGTAATTTAATTTTCGTGTCGCTAACCAGCGTGTGAATGTTTACTTAAACAATCTACGAAACGACTCAACTTCATCCAATAAAAAACATTTTAAAAATAGTGTCTTATAAATCAGCGCTCGTTCTGGAGTATTTATAATCATTTTATATGCAAATTTATTAAGATTTATCTATATATCATTTATTACAGATGTTTAAGAGAAATTTGGCAAGTTGCCAATAAATGTTATATTTGTATTATTATATCAAATACAACTGACGTCTATTAAACTTTTTTAAAGCCATGACATGGATTAAATAAAGTATGGAGGCATATTGCACAACGACCTAGTTCAATTGCTCACCTCATCGAAGATATGCAATTATAGTTAACGTCTGACCTTTCTGCACCAATAGGACTAATAAAAACGGGCATAAACCATACAGTGTGCTACCAGGGAAAATTTGACTTGACAACGGTACAACATCCTACATTTTCTGACTTGACAACGGTACAACATCCTACGTTATCTGTTTCGATTGCCAACTGTCAGGGGATCTTTAACGTATTATCAATGGTATTTAGGGACCTTGGTTCTCTTTCGTCCCATCCAAAGGATTAGGCACCTTCCTGGTAGGCTCGGAGCCCCATACACCATTAAGATTGGGGGATCAGACTGGAAAATCCCGAGGAACTTTCGAACACAGGATTTCCAGCTAATCGAGCCATCGTGGATCCCTTCATTATCGGAGAAAGTTGTTGTTATAGACATGATAACATTAAGATCAGAATTAAAAACTTTTGTTTGCATTAATTTGACTACTTAAAACAAATTTCAATACATGTTGGCTTGGCTATCTCATTATTTCCACCCTTATTTCCAATTCGTTTGCAGATCATAATTCAATGGCTCGATGCTTTTGTCTTTAACTTTTATGATCGCACCGATTTCTTTCACGTCATACTCATAGAATAGGCCACCAAGGTCACAATGGCCCGAAAATCAAGGGTGATTATGATGTCGATAAAGGCCAGATCATATAGCATTGGATGAATTAATTAGAAATTCCGCATTGATTCAAGGATTTACTTACTGTACCGATTCTTACTGATCTAGTCATTAACATTAGTCGGGAGGTCACAACGTAGGCAATGGTGGACAGTGGTTGCTCTTGTGAACGGCCGTAAAATCTCAATAATAAATATGACAAAGTCACAGTAATGGTGATCAACATATAATTATTTCAATATAACAATAGAGAACGAATTTATACACTTAAAATGATCTAAAAAAATAACAGAACATACCCTTTCTTTCCACATATACCATCTAGATTGCTTTAATGTCGCCTTATCAACAACAAATTACCCTGTTGAATTATTACCGGTAGGCGAGAAATTTGCTTTCGATACCTTTTACATATTATTATTCATAAGCCTACTCTATCGGCCTACGCGCATCTTTGTAATTTATGAGGCGTATTTCATAGTGATATCAACAATAGATATACAATAAAGTCGTATATGGTACAATATGAAGACAAGGATCGGTGAGTGACCTTTGATTACAGTAACCCCACAGGGCGTAGTCTTGTTTAATTTCACCACTTTGCGTCATGAACGGTTCACCTGACCCTATCTGGGTTTTTAAACTACTGGGCAGCCATGATTTTGAACTCGTTCCGAAACCAGGAAGTTATAAGGATTTATTGTTGCTATTTATAACCAGTTATCAAAGTGAAGCCCGGACAATGACAAGCAAAATATAAATCGGGAATTCCAGAAAATGATATTCAGGCATACCAATAAAACTATATTTTATAGCTAGAATACATATCGAATTTCGAGTTGTGGGGCCATACACTTCAAATAATTTATTTTTTAATTCTAAAAACAGTCCAGTTCCACAATTCCCCATAAAATTTTTCTCAACAGAAATATGCAAGGAACAATTAAAAACAAGTACGATCGTACTATGGACCAGGACCATGTTGTTGGATGAACTTCAAAATTCTAATCCACCAAATCGATGCAGAATTGTTCAAAGAACAAGCATACCAATTTTCATATCGATCAAGATTGAATTGACGGAACCTTAGGCGTCACCCCAAGAATAAGAAGAACAAGATGAGTATCGGTTAGCGACCAGTTTCTGGTTCCTGGTAAAAAAAAAACCAAAAAGGAAAACCAAAAAACCAAAAAGAAAACCCCAAAACAACCCAACGCATATCGCTGGGCTTCCCCTATGAAGTACGCATGGAGATTTAGATTACTATTCCCGTATGTTTTTCTGCGAATCCACTAAAACACAATGACGTACATGAGTTTGCAACATATAGTAAGCAATATCAATGAGGTTATGTTCAGTTTGTAAATGATAGTATGCAGTAATTGAGTGTGCGTGGAGCCCCCCCCCACCCCTGCACTCACCACTAATTCATATTTGGCTAAAGCTAGAACCCATACTTATGAACAATTGCTACTTCACCTGGGCGATATTTTGAAGACTATTCTCTCCACGTTTTCAAGCTTCAAGAACACTCTTCGAATCTTCGTCCAAATAAATTAGTTATTTATTCTTCTATAAGTATTTGCTAATGTTTATTCATCAATAATTTCTTACCCTAAAATATGTTCCAATCGCTAATCAATTACGATGTCCTTCGTAGGTTCACAGTGCATATACTGAATTAGTAAAACGGATACACAAAGAGGTTATTATACTCCAGTTATAGGGCAAAACCACTTGAGAAGTATGAAATAGACGCGATATATTAAAAAAAAAAAATGCCTGGACCATTTACTGCCTCACAATAACTGGCAAGAATAAATCTCCAATACATTTGAAACAATAGTTTTGTAATTAACAGATGAAATAAAGAAAAATATAAATATTTCTGTATTTAAAGAAACAAGCTTAAAAAATGCATCATTATATGTATACGGAGGAAAACAAATGTTTTTAAATGGAAAGAGTAGGAAACGTGGATATATTTAGAAAAGAAAACGTTGCCAAATTTATTTAATCTAAATTGGCAAGTGCTAGTTGTGTGACACTTAGTGACAGACATCAACATGATTATAAATGATTGGCAGCTTGTATAATATCTATATGATAGCTGCGTTTTATAAAGTAACATTATACCTTACCTAGCTTGTTAAGCTTGTTATTTAATATCTGCGATATCACTTCGTTGTGTAAGCAGACGTTAAATAAAGTTATATCAATAAGACTAATAATTCTTTAGTGGTATTTAGCGATTGAAAATATAACAAAACGAAAACAGTTATGTATGGTTTATTGAAACATCGTGCCCGTGTATAATAAACCAGTCATTTTTGTGCCATAATATAACTGTTTTAATTTTGAGACATTACTTACTATTAAATGCATCTACCGACATATTGACAATCATATATCAGCAAAATACTTTGTAAACACTTTG